ATAATATAATATTATATAATATAATATATATATATATATACTTATAAATATACATATATATATACTTATAAATATAAATATACATATATATATATACTTATATATATATATATATATGTGTGTGTGTGTGTATACGTTCACTGTGTTTGCCTTTGATGTGGAAATTGTCGTTGCTATATCGTGACCGCATCGAAACATGAGAGTTATGACGCCAATGAACAAAGCAACTGCTCTCGCTACAACTATGGATTAACACACTGTCTCATCTGCAGCACGATGTATATCCTTTCAAAGAGAATAGGACAATATCAGCCCAAATACTGGCACGTCATCCTTTGAAAGAAAATAGGACAATATAAGCCCCGTTCAAAGAAAATAGGACAGTTCTAGCCCAGATACTGGCAAGTACAGTCAAGTGTCCGACAAATGAAAACCAAGAACCAGAGCACACCCATGTGAACAACACTTAACACAAGCCCGCCGTTCAATGGGCAATGAGTTAAAGAATATAGAATAAAACCAAGAACCAGAGCACACCCATGTGAACAACACTTAACACAAGCCGCCATTCAATGGGCAATGAGTTGAAGAATCTCCAGATATAATAGGCCATTCATTAGAAAGTGATACTCTCGCTCGAATTGAACTAATATCGCTCGCATTGAACTAATATCGCTCACATTGAACTAATATCGCTCGCATTGAAATAGTATCGCTCGCATTGAACTAATATCGCTCGCATTGAAGTGATACAGTTCCCCAGTGGCACCCAACACCAAACGCTCTGCATTGCACCGCTCAGTGGCAGGTGAAGAACAAACTCAAACACACTCATCTACATACACGTACATCCACATACGCCACTCATCCATGTGTGTGTGCATTCGTATACGCCCATCTACAGACAAGTACATCTACATACGCCACTCGTCCATGTGTGTGTGCATTCGTATACACTTACCCCATTACCACGAATGTCGCCAAAGACATCTGTGTGAAAGATCCACGCGATGAGGGCGATAGAAATCCAAGCATGGCCATCGCTGCAGAAATGAGTGTCATATGATATGTTATAACATAGGTATGTAGAGATGGGTGTGATATGATATGTTATAACGTAAGTATGCAGGGATAGCTGATACGAACAAGAGACAGGAGTCATATGTCATGTCAGCAGCTTAAGTACACAGAGCACGTCTCCCTCCAACTCTACACAGACACCTTAACGCCAATCCTCCACACACTATCTCATCTAAAAACCACACACACACTCGGTTCAACATTGTTGTTACACTTACCCAGGACGATAGATGACACTCATCTAAAAACCACGCACATAC